GGGCTAGCAGGGAAGTGTGTGAATGACTCATGACCCGGGGCACCTCTCCTTGGTCCAAACACTGAGAAACACTTACCGTCCGCATCTTTCACCATGTGTTTACCTCCCCACGTGTCGAACCAACCGACCCAGTATTCCATAATCATAATGGGCTTATCGCTCTAGAGACAAACCAAATGACACACGCAGTCAGACAAAAAGAAAAAATAAGTCGGAAACACTGAATACAACGGATGAGAGTTGGAGGAACTTGGGCTTCTCACTTTTTTCCAAGTCAGCCCGTTACACCTCTTGCTTCTCCGTTTCCCTAGACATCACGATCACTTTCTATCATTCCAACCTTGTCCTTCGCGAAGCCGGTGTGGAGAGAATCAGCTTTGGAATCACAAAGACCTGACTGCAAGTCCTCACGTGGAAACTGAAGCTCAAGGGCCACATGCTGGTAAGGTCAGAGACACAACCCAAGCCCAGGGTGAGCCAAACTAGCAGCCACAGAATTCTATTGTCGATTAAGGACATCGTTCGGAGGAATCCAAGATGGCGCGTAAGAGGGAGTTCCACTCACCCCCTCCCTGGACCACATCAGAATCACAACTAAATTGTAGAAAAATCAACCTGGAGAACCATCTGAAGACTAGCCGAATAGAAGTCTTATAACTAAGAGATGCAGAAGAAACCATGTTGAGACTGGTAGGAGGGGCAGAGGTGCAAAAAAGGGCAGGCCTTGCACCCACGTGTGGCGACTGAGATTCTGGAGGGATATCTCAGCAGCAGAGGTTCCCCCTGAGGAGCGAGGGGTCTCCACCCCACGCTGAGCTCCCCAGCCTGGAGCCCAGTACCGGGAAGAGGAGCCCACATAACATGGGCTGTGATAATCAGCAGGGATTCTGTCTGCCCAGATGAGATGGGCGTCTGCTAGAAACCCAGGTGCTCTCCTAAAGGACCCGCACACAAAATCTCATTCACGGGCACGCACCCTGGGCTTCAGCAGAGGGACAGCAGCTCTGAGGGGACCTGAGTCATCAAGGGAGAGACTGGGTTGTGTGGCTTTCGGGAGAGGGCTGGAGGGACAGCCGCCAATGTTCCTGTGCTGAGTCCCTCTTCCAACACTGCATTCCCCTCCATAGAGCACTAGCCTGGTGAGCTACGCTAGTCCCACCCTGCCAAACTCCCATAAGGCTCCGGGATCTGCTGCCCGCAGCCAGCCTAGGCCTGCAGAGCAGTCTCCTCCGTCAGCAATGCACATGGCTCATTTCTGAGCTCTGCTCTCTCAGAGAAAAGAGAGCAACCTCTCCCTCTGATTGACTTCACGTAACCTCTGCCCCTTCCTCTGGTCATCTCCATTAGGTGCTCCACGAACAGAAGGGAAGAGGCAGAATTTCCTCCTTATTCCCCCTGACGAAACCGATAAACTCCCCAAAACACTGTGGAACCTAGGTGAGGCCTCAGAGGGAAAGCTATATAGTCTTTGTCAAGCCTCCTATCCTCATTGAACACCAGCTGTAAAGGTTGGGGCCGGCGGGGGGGTGGGGGGGGGG